CAGGAAATAGGTATGAATAAAAGGGGACAATAGGACAGGGACGATAGGCACAATTGTGCACTTATGCACGCCCCTTATACACCTCTTAGGAATGGGGTGAGGTCAATAGTGGATAGTTTAAGGGTAAAGGTGGGGTTAGAGGATGTTAACAACAGAGTCAGGTAGTGCAGGGATCCCCAACCTTTTCGACGCCGCGGCCCGGTTCCGGCGTCAGCTGGGCGCCGCGGCCCGGTTCCGGCGTCAGCTGGGCGCCGCCATCTTTTTTTGACGAAAAATCACTTCCGGTGATGTCACCGGAAGTGATTTTTCGTCAAAAAAAATGGCGGCGCCCAGCAACCAGCGGCCCGGTAAGGCTTGTTCCGCGGCCCGGTACCGGTCCGCGGACCGGCGGTTGGGGACCCCTGAGGTAGTGCATTCCAGACATTGACAACTCTGTGGCTGAAGTTGTACTCTCAGCAGTCAAGTTTGGAGCGGTTTACTTTGAGTTTGTATCTGTTGTGTGCTCTTGTATTGTTGTGGTTGAAGCTGAAGTAGTCATTGACAGGTAGGACATCGTAGCAGATAATTTGTGTACTACACTTAGGTCGGATCAAAGGCGGCATAGTTCTAGGTTGTCTAAGCCTAAAATTTCAAGTCTGGTATTCTGTTGCAAACAGAAGAAGACGACTCTTCTCATGAAATATATCTGGACTTTCTCGACTGTATTAATATCCGATATGTAGTGAGCCACTAGTATTGAAAATGGATCGAGTGGAGGTTTTGGTGGGAGAGCATTTCTTGTAAATGCCATGATGCAGATAGGTGTCCCGATGCCTCAGACTCTGGACAGCCTTGGTACTTGGAGCCTGTAAAAATTCTCAGCCCTCCAGGTCATGGTTCTACCAAAGATGCTTTTTCAGAAGGCAACTGGACTTTTTTCTTTTGAAGACGTTTCGCTTCTCATCCAAGAGGCTTCTTCAGCTCTGACAGGATGGGGAGGAATGGAAGGATTTGTTGTAATGACGAGGCAGTCAAGGTGTTTGATCATGATCAACTGAATCATGATGAACTTTATTGGAGTCTAGTCTTGCATTTATACACATTTTTAGTAATCCTCCAACATTGGTTAACTTTGGTTACTGCTTAACTTTCGTTACTGTTTAGCATAATAGTAATTAACACAATTAATTATCTCTAGTTAAAGTCTAACATATGTTTACTTCCTCTCTCTAATCCTCCTTTACATTAGTGACTTTGTTTGCCTGAGTTGTATTTGCTTGTAAACATTCTTTATCTGAGGTTTGCCATCCAAGATAAGAACATTCCTGCAATTACAACTCTACAAGGATTTATATTCCTTGCAGGCAGCTGGTCATTTGCATCCTTTGAGAGGGTCATTGAGGCCACTTGGAGGTTTATCTGTGTCCTCAGGGTCACCTGAGTAATGCAAATAGTTCCTGGAATGTGCAATTTTTCCCTCTGGGAATCCATTCCTACTCCCACACCATTCAAAAGGAGATTAACAAAATTTAGTCAACTAAATTTCAGCACTAAATCGGTGCCAGATAAGGGTCAGTGGAATTCAAGAGGGGTTGGACTTGAACTGTTTGTGACCATGTAATGATTCTAGGCAGATGACTCATTTAACCCCGCCTCCCAGCTCTACCAGTTTTTCTCCTACATGCAGCCACTAAGAAGGAAAAAGCTGGTTCCTGGTTTCTGTACTCTGCAATTCTTTTTCCTCTGGAAATCCATTCCTTATTCCCACACCATTCAGTGGGTGTTCATCCCAAATTGTGCAGCTAAAAGTTTGTAGAGGTTCTCATTCATCCAGGTCATGGTTGCCCCAAAGGTGTCAAAAGTTCTTCAGAGCTAAATAAGCTTCATGGATGAGAAGTGAAACGTCTTCAAAGAAAAAACAAGGAAGTCCAGTTGCTTCCTGAAAAAGCACCTTTGGTACTGGGAAAGGCTTTGTTTTCAACTGTTGGTGAAGACAGTGGCCATCTAATCGACTTCTTACACTTAATTCTCTCGTAGCCCTGTGATTGTGGAAATCCCTCATTTTGCCTCGCACGGCCGTGGTGACCGAGAGTTGGTGGTCCTACGTAGTGAGAATGGATCTGTATGGAAGGAGCACCGCAGCCATTACGCAGAGAGTTACTTGGACCAGGTCCTCAATGGGATGGATGAAGGTAAGGACATCTACCTGAAGGACATCAACTTGCATAGGGACTCCAATGAGATTCAAAGATTGAGGAGCTATGACAAAGTGATGGGATTGTTGAAGTCCCACTGGTTCCCTCGTGACCCGTGGAATCTAAAACTCCTCAGTTACTCTTTTACAGAATTGGAAAGTCTGGAAGAATTGGAGAAGAAAAGGATTTGCCGTATCATCACAACCGACTTCCCCTTGTACTTTGTGGTCATGTCCCGGGTGTGCCAGAACTGTGAGTTAATTGGCCCAGAAGGGGGCTCTCTCCAGAGTTCGTTGGTGCCCATGGTCCAAGCCACCTTTCCTGAAACGGCAGTCACCAAGAAAGTCAAGTTGGCTCTGCAGGTACTGAATGATGGCCAGTCAGACATTGTGGTTGTTTTCATGAAACCTTCTTGATTCATTTACTGGATTGATTCATTTTATGGGTTTTACCAAATGGGGTGGACTTGTAATATTTCCTTCCTTTTCCTTCCTTCCTTCCTTCCTTCCTTCCTTCCTTCCTTCCTTCCTTCCTTCCTTCCTTCCTTCCTTCCTTCCTTTCTCCCTCCCTCCCTCCATCCCTCCCTCCCTCCCTCCCTCCTTCCATCTATCTATCTATCTATCTATCTATCTATCTATCTATCTATCTATCTATCTATCTATCATCTATCTATCATCTATGTATCTATGTACCTTATCATCTATGTATCATCTATCATCTATTATCTCTGTATCTATCTATCAATCATCTATCTATAGGCCTTTTCAAGACCTTCCTGGTTTTTGGTCTTTCTCTTTCAGGCTCAGCCAGTGCCTGATGAGTTGGTGACCAAACTCCTGGGGAACCAGGCAACCTTCAGCCCAATTGTGACGGTGGAGCCACGCCGTAGGAAATTTCATCGACCTATCGGGTTGCGCATTCCCTTGCCCCCATCTTGGAGAGAGAGTCCCCGAGACAGTGGGGAAGGCGATACCACCAGCCTGCGCCTCCTCTGCAGCGTTATAGGTGAGCAGAGACTTCTGAGTGTGTCTAAGAGATAGCATCCCTTCCCATGTTGCTTCTTCATTGCAAAGTTGGGGAGGATCTCGGGATTTGGAAGCTGAGCTTTGGAGAAGTTGGACATCCTCCTGGCCATTGGTCTTCTTGGTCCTCTTTTACTTCCAACCCATGATGCTCCATTACATTGAGGACACAAGCAATGCCCTCTCTTGTAAACACCTTCAGAATAATGTCACATGATGCCAACTCTTCAAGTGTTGTGGTCTGCCAGCGGAGGTTGGGGAAGAACATGGGCCAGTCCTGGAGTCTGGGGTAGGCTCTGATGAGGGCTCTGCATCGGAGGCAGATATGGGGCCAGGGCCCTCTGACAGTAATCAGCTGCCTTTGGAGTCAGAGATCAGTGGGGCAGAAGAACAGCTGGAGCCTGTTCCCAGTGTGCGCATGCACAGGGCTGCCAGAAGAGGGGAACAGTTAACGAACTAGGGTCGACTCGGGAGTAAAGGCACAGGTGGCCCGTGAATAGAGAATAAAGAGGAGAGAAAAGGGAGTGGGGTTTGCAGGAAACAATTAGTTCAGTTCATTAGAGTAAAGATCTGTTCCTGACTTCTTGCCAAGTATTTCTTTGGACAGCATTGTGCTTGGAAGATATTGGCCTGGCAACTCTCCAAGCCTGATAAGGTCTGTGGTTGTAATTCACCCTTGAAAGAGATTTTGCCAAGACTTTGCTGGATGTGAATGATAGGAATTTTCAGCCATATAAAAAGGTGTTTTGTTGGGACAAGGAGTCGTGCTTCGTGGTTTGGTAAAGCCTAGGTCAGAACATCAAGGTAGACCAAACTAGGAAACCAAAGTCATGCGGGCCAATCTTGTTAAGTGAGGACTACCTCTATTGTTTTGATAGGGGCTCTTCCTCCTGTTCCTCAAGGTCCTTCTTTCTTCCAATTACATCATGTGATAACAGATGATTCAGTGGAATTATTTGGAGACAAAAGCATTCTACCTTTGGAAGGAAATCACAGGAGGGAAATGGCAGGTTGGCTAAGGATTCAGCAGAAATGCTACCACAAGAAGCTAAAACCAAACAAAGGACCAAAATGAACGAGAAAGAGTATTTTTCCCCATCTTGTCCAATCAGCTCCAATTTTAGCACTAGCCTTTTCTAGGAAGCTGGGGAAGTAACAGGAGCTCACTCTGTTACATGGTGGTAGGGATTTGAACCGCCGAACTGCTGACCTTTCTGAATGACAAGCTCAGTGTCTTAGCCACTGAGCCACCATGCCCCCCCCACACACAAACACACACACACACAGAGACAGTATATATATTTCTGTGTCAGTTGTTGTAGGCAACTCTTAGTAACGTCAGATAGCGCCGGCCAATTGGCCTCACGCCGAGCTGAGCTTCTGTTATCGAATTTCTGGAATCAAATTGGGCATCAAAAGACACTCCATCAGTTCTCCCCACTTTCTTTTCTCAGGAGGAACTGCGCCAGCACAATGGGAGGACATCACTGGGACCACAAAATTACTTTACGCCGACGAGTGTGCAAATTTCACCACCAATGTGTCAGCCAGGTGAATTGGAGGGAAGGTTTGGGAGAAGGTTTTGGGTGGCAACTCAAGGGCCACAAGCTACATCTCACAGGGGATGCGATGTACAATGCAAGGGGTCGGGTTGAGCAGCCCTTTAAATGTGTTTGGTGTAATCCAATGTCAGCATTCCAAGTAACAACTTCCAAATTAAAAGACTCCAAGACTGTCATCTTCTCAAAGTTCCATTTTATTAGAGATGTCATATTGGCACAACTGAGGAAAACCCAAATCTGAGATTTGCGGATTTTCCTTAGTGCAAAGAGATTTCAAAATCCAACCCTAACCCTAACCCTAACCCAATAGTTCATCACATGGTCCAATCATTACTTCGATCCAACTGGAGACTATCTCCTAGTCACTCCCCTCCAGGTGCAGAGTAACATGTCCTTGACTCTCTGAGAAGGGAATGTTGTGGCTAATCTTCCATCACTCCTTGAAATCCCCCTCCCAAATTCCCAGGCACTGAATGTGGCAGCCCAGAAGCCTCAAAGAAAAATGGCTTCCAAGCAGACACCAATATGTTTGGAGGATATTCGGTTGGGGAAGGAAACCCTAAAAAAACACAAAAGAGAATGATACATGTTGTACCACTCTATTATGGTACAAAATTAAGAGTCAAGGTTCCAACTGATGAACCCAACAAAAGCAAGCATGATCGAGACGGTCCAATCTCTTTAGGCAAAACTTTATTGAGTACATCATTTTGGCACTGTGATAACCCGGGGCGTGGCAGAAAAGCAACAAAGTCACAAAAGTAGGTAAAGTCCCTTTAATACCTCCAACTTGGCCCCCAATCTCCAGTTATCTTCGGCTGGAGAAAATAAAACTCTCCCAAGAACAGTTTTTAAAGGGAAGAAATTCAGTCCGAACCCAAAGTACATCTAAATTATAAACAAAAACCAACACAAACCATGCTGCAGCAATTAACGAGACAGGGCAGGATAAAGAACTGCAGACTTCAAAAGATAACGAGACACGCACAGTTGGGAGGATGCCAGAACCCAAATAAGACTTAACAAACCAAAATAATTCATGCTTTGCTTCCAGCAAGGTGCTGTGCACAGACACCCTTTTAAAATCCTGTTTTCCCAGTTGCAGCAAATGAAGGGAATCAGGGCCCTTTTCTATTTATTTTATTTTATTTATTTATTTGATTTGCCAATTGTTTACAAGATAATAAGTATAAATGTATACATAGTTGTGAATACATGAAATGGGTACATATAAGAAAAATAAAAGAATAAGAGAAACAATAGGACAGGGACGGTAGGCACGTTGGTGCGCTTATGCACGCCCCCTACAGACCTCTTAGGAAAGGGGTGAGGTCAATAGTAGACAGTCTAAGGTTAAAGTTTTTGGGGTTTGGGGAAGAAACTACAGAGTCGGGTAGAGTATTCCAGACATTGACCACTCTATTGCTGAAGTCGTATTTCCTGCAATCAAGTTTGGTGCGGTTTACTTTGAGTTTGTATCTATTGTGTGCTCTTGTGTTGTTATGGTTGAAGCTGAAGTATTCATTGACAGGTAGGACATTGCAATGTATGATTTTATATACCATGCTTAAGTCAGACCGAAGACGGCGTAATTCAAGGTTTTCAAGTTCTAGAATTTCAAGTCTGGTGGCATAAGGTATTCTACAACGAGTAGAGGAGTGGAGAACTCTTCTTGTGAAATATTTCTGGACTTTCTCAATTGTGCTAATATCAGATACGTAGTGTGGGTTCCAGACTGATGAACTGTATTCGAGTATTGGTCTAGCAAATGTTTTGTATGCTCTGGTTAGTAGTGTGATATTACCAGAGAAAAAGCTACGTAGGATTAGGTTAACAACTCTTAATGCCTTTTTGGCTATGTAGTTGCAGTGGGCTCTAGCACTTAGATCATTAGAGGTGAGTATTCCAAGGTCCTTTACAGAGCTTGAGTCATCAACAAGATCTTGACTATTCAGCTTGTATTTTATTTTCTGATTTTTTTGCCAATATGTAAGACAGAGCATTTATTTGTTGAGATTTGAAGTTGCCATTTGTTTGACCACTCTGATACATAGTCAAGATCTTTTTGTAGGGTAGCAGTATTGTCTGTGGTATTGAACAGCTTTACATCATCAGCGAAGAGAACGCAATTGCTCTTAATATGATCACAGAGGTCGTTTATGTAGAGTATGAAGAGAGTTGGTCCTAGAACACTGCCTTGGGGAACACCACTATTGACAGGTACTGGATTTGATAGTACGCTCCCGATTTTGACCATTTGTTGTCTGTTTGACAGGAATGCTTCTATCCAGTTATTCAGTTGTCCAGAGATACCATAAGATTTTATTTTTAGGAGTAGTTTGTCGTGTACCACTGAATCAAAGGCTTTACAGAAGTCTATGTAGATTGCATCTATTGCTTTGCCCTGGTCGAGTTGTGTCGTCCATATGTTTTTGCAGTGTAAGAGTTGCAGATTACAGGATAGTTTTTTTCTGAAACCAAATTGTTTATTGGAGAGTAGGTTATTTGTCTCTAAGTGAAGGATGATGGATTGGTTAATAATTGATTCCATGACTTTACAGGTGACGCAGCATAAGGAGATTGGCCTGTAATTTTCAACTAGGCTTGGGTCTCCCTTTTTGAAGATGGGGATGACTGTGGCTTGTGACCATAGGTTAGGCAAGGAGCTGGTTCTGAAAGATTTTTCAAAGATTATGCTTAGAGGTTTGGCTATGGCAGTGGATAGCTTTCTTAAGAAGTAGGCACATATTCCATCCGGTCCAATAGATAGAGATGGTTTTAGGTTGCGTAGTGCTTTTTCAACATTGTCTTCTGTGAAATCGATATGTATTAGATCATTGTTGTTATCTGTGGTACGGCTAGGAAATACTGGGCATGATCCATTGCTGTTTACAAATACTGAGCCGAAGAATGTGTTAAAGATGTTGGCTTTAATGGTGTCGTCGTTGCAGTCTTTACCATCAGGTCCTATCAAGGGAGGGATGGACCTTGAGTCTTTTAGTTTGTTGTTTACAAAATTGTAAAAAGCACGGGTGGAATTGGTGCTTAGAAGGTTTTCCTCTTGTTTAATGTGATAATTGGTGCATTCGGTCTTTATCTGGTGGCATAAATTTTTGTATCGGTTTTTGAAATTGGCAACGTGACCAGATTTGTTTTTCCGCCAGAGTGATCTCTTTTTGGATTGAAGTTTCCTTATTGATATGGGTAATCTGCTTTTTTGTTTTGTTTTGGGAGTTGTTGTTGGTACATATAGTTTGATGACTCTTTTGACTTCAAGTAAAAATATGTTGTAATGGTCTTCAACAGTATTGCATCCAGTGAATAGAGATTGCCAATCAAGGGATGAGAGATCGTTGTGTATAAGATCATAGTTGCCTTTTTTGAAGTTACAATTGGGAATTACATCATTGTGGTGATTTTTGTGTGGACGTATGTTGAGACAAAAGTCAATCATATTGTGGTCGCTACTGGAAAAGGGTTCTTTAGTTTGTATTCCATAAATTAAATTCAAACTATTGCAGAAGATGAGATCGAGGCAGTTGTTTAGTCTAGTGTTGTTGGTTACTAGTTGTTCCAGTCCCAGATTTGTAGTAGCATTGTAGAAGGTTGTGTGTATGATTTCAGTTGTACAATCATTTAGGGTCCAGTCAATATGAGGTAGATTGAAATCACCAAGAAAGATAAAAGGGTATGGGCAGGATGCAGCCCATGTTAGTAATGTATTTAGCTTGTTTACATGTTCGATGTCATAATCAGGTGCTCTGTAACATAGTAAGAATCGAATTGTGATATTTAAGGATAGTTCACAGATGATGGTCTCAGGAAGAGCAAGCTCCTGGGTAACTTGGATATTTTTTAGATGTAAGGATTTTTTATAGAAGATAGCAACACCACCTCCTCGACGATTTTCACGATCTGATCGGTAAACATGATAGTCTCTTACTGTGGTAATGGAGTCGGGGAGAGATGCATTGAGCCATGTTTCACAGACAAATATAATGTCGAAGTTAGCCATATTTAGGAGGATGAGAAATTCAGGTATTTTATTCACGAGGCTTCTTGCATTGAGTAGTTTGCATTTAAGGCCGGCAGTAGTTGGAATTGAGGTAGTTGGGGGCGTGCGTGCCTAGTCTTGGGTGATGGTGGATCGGTTGAGGTAGGGTTGTGGTTGAGGGTAAAAGCTGAGTATTGGGTTGCGTGGCTTACTTTTGATACAGTCAGCATGGTAGTCAATGTACAGGTCCTTCTCTCCATTGTCTAGACGGTTTTTGAGTTCAATGCGGAGTACACGGGAGCGGGCACGTTGCTGTATGGTTAGGTCAGGGCGGCAACGGAGGTTCTCCCCCATAACTCATGTTGCTCCCTTATCCGTTCTTCCCTGCATGCCCTAGGATGAAGAGGGGGTGGCCCTGGGTCTTCCTCTGAATGCCCAGCCAGACTGTGCCCTTCCCTAATTTCTTCCACAGCCACCAGAGTCACACTCCCCCTCCCTAGCTGCTTGACCTCCTCCTCAGAATCAGATTCCAACAGGGGCATGACAGGCACGACTGAAGACAAAACCAGATCTAGAGATTTCCTGCAGGAACCCCTATAGTTAAAATTCAAATCCACCACCTGCCCCCATTAGCTCAGGTCACAATGTCCAATACGGTCTGCGGATATTGTTGGAAAGTCTTTTTTGTCTGTGTAAACATCTGCCGAAATGTCCTTGGTTCTCACATTGACATCTTGATGTCTGGGCCATTTTCTATCTCTCCCTTCCTTCCCCCCCCAGTTCGTTGGCAAACTGAGATGTGACAATCATTGCGACATCAAAATCCTTTTGAAGCTTGACCCTTGGTAGTGTTGCCATTGAGTCAAGCTTGATTCCATAGAAATGTCCGTGTTTTCTTGGCCACTGAATAGCAGTGGTTTGCTCATTCTTGGCATATTCTGGTGGTCTCCCATCCTAGTACTGCCTTACTTTTTCCGCTACGTAGGTTCTGGCTGGCAGACTGCCCGCGCACAGCCGAAGCCATCCATTTTGCCACCCTGTTATACAAGGAGCTCGCAGCTGTGCCCTACATGGCTAAGTTTGTGGTGTTTGCCAAAATGAATGACGGGCGGGAAGGACGCTTGCGCTGCTACTGCATGACCGATGACAAAGTGGACAAAACGTTGGAGCAGCATGAAAACTTCACAGAAGTAGCACGCAGCCGAGACATTGAGGTAACTCCTCGGGGTAGGAAATGACCGGGCTGAGCCTGCAGGCGGGGTCAAAGGCATCATCAGTTTAGAGTCACTAAGAGACCTAAGTCCAGAATTCCATGAATTCCGTTGACTCTTATCTAGCTCCAATTTACCTTGGCTGTTAGTAATTCAGCTTCCTGTGTATAGGTAGCATGAAATTGACTTGAAGTAGAATAGAATAGAATAGGAATAGGAATAGGAATAGGAATAGGAATAGGAATAGGAATAGAATAGAATAGAATAGGAATAGAATAGAATAGAATAGAATAGAATAGAATAGAATAGAATAGA